CTGCCCGCCGGGATTACCGGCTAGGGGTGCCGGGGAAACCGGCGGTAGGCGGCCGTGGGGTCCCGGTACTGAGGAGAAAATGGCGCCGAGGGGGGTTGAGGCGAAGGAGATGTGGCCCGCCGGCGCTTCCCTCGAACCCGTCCACCTCATGAAATTGGGTTTTGCCGCCATCGGTGCTGCTATTATTATTATTATTATTATTAATTATTATTGTTATTACTACTACAGCTGTTGTCACTGTTCGCCCCACTTTTTTTTTTTTTTACATACAAGCCCAATTCCCCAGCCCTTGAGGTATCCGCAGCCCACTCCTCCCCTCCCAAAATCTCCATAGCCCTGTTCATGATAATATGAGTATGGCTAATATGAATATTAATCTAATCCTTATTGGAAGGATTTTAGTGCTTGCTGGATATCACAAATACGTAATCCAGGGGAGAATGACATTAGGCTGAAAGTGCGGAGTGCAAAATATGATTTGAATAAAATGATAGGGTGGTATCTAATATTTCCTTTAGGGAGTACTATACTCTGAGCTGTCACAACCGATTGTGTAAATAGACGAGACTGAGGGATGTGATCCTAATCATATTGATGAAACATTCATCTGAAAGACCAAGCGCAACCAGAAGGGACTCACTAGGAATACAATTAAATCCTAATCTGGGGAGGAGGAATCCTCTGCAGGCTTTCCTCTAACCTGCCGCCCTCTCCCCCGTTTTCATTTTGGAGTCAAATAAAATGCAGGAGAGGAAGAGGAAATAAAGGAGGGATGGAGGGCTGGGTGGTTTGCCTGCCTGAAGGAGTACATTAACACAGGGAGTGCTGGGTGGGAAGAAGGTAAATCTGCAGTCCTGTCCTATAAAAAATAAAGATCTAACTTTACCCACAGGGTTAACTCCCTGCCTGCAGAGGGTTTTTACCTGAGCAGTGTTAATCAGGTGCAGGAGGCCTGTGTGTCTGGAGAGAGTCTCTCTGACCCAGGTTTTGACCACCAGCTCAGTCCCAGGCTTGTAAAAAAACAAAAGCAGTCTTTAGCCATTTAGTTGCCATCTGCAGCAGGTAACTGATTTCTTGCTGATAATATTTACTAGCAAAGGGGTTATTTTCCAACCAGCCCACTAGCTGGTTCCTGTCTGACCCTCATTGCCGTGGTCTCAGACTGCCTTTCAGTAGTGTAGTGCCCAGGGTGAAATGGCATTAGGC